TGTATTCGTTTGACATTTTTACATTTTTACAGTTTTACCGTTTTTACGGTGTACCGAATTCTTTTAATAAAAAAAACCTATAAACATAAAACTACGTGTTTCTATAGAGCTTAATCTAGATCTTAATCAAGAAAATATAGAGCTGAGCGAGTTCAAAAAGAGTGAAACACACACACACACACACACATCAACATTAGAAGCTCATTCTCTCAATTCAGCTAATTCAATCAATTCTCTCAATTCAACAAACATTAGAGGCTCATTCTCTCAATTCAACCAAGCAATCGTCATCATTTTGTCTACTAGTTATCATATACTTATTCATTAAGAATTTCAGATGTAATTTTTGGATGGTTTTTAAGTTGACTGGTTTTTAAGTTGACTGGTTTTTAAGTTGACTGGTTTTTAAGTTGTCTGGTTTTTAAGTTGACTGGTTTTTAACTTGTCTGGTTTTTACGTTGACTGGTTTTTAACTTGACTGGTTTTTAAGTTGTCTGGTTTTTAAGTTGACTGGTTTTTAAGTTGACTGGTCTTTAAGTTGACTGGTTTTTAAGTGGTCTGGTTTTTAAGTTGTCTGGTTTTTAGGTTGACTGGTTGTTAAGTTGCCTGGTTTTTAAGTTGTCTGATTTTTAACTTGTCTGGTTTTTACGTTGTCTGGTTTTATAGACGATCCCTAATATCTATTAATATCTATCTATCTACCAATAAACCACTAACAAACTCGTTTAACTAGATTCACTATTTACCATGTATTGATATCCTGTTTGTGGATTGTATTGCCATCCTTTTTTGCATTTGTACAATGGTTGCTGTTCGGCTGAAAGTGAGTGATTTGGGAAACGTTGGCTAATTAAAAAAATCCCGATGAGAAACTGAATTTTTCTCTGTAGAGGTACTTTCATTTTAGATTTAATTACTGAATTCAACTATTTTTTTGATCTAAATATTTGTATTGAACATATTTCCCGTTCACTTTACTTCATTTCCCCTATAAAGAAGCTGTCAAAGTGATCAAAAGCCTGTCAAAGTGATCAAAAGCCTGTCAGAGTGATCAAAAGCCTGTCAAAGTGATCAAAAGCCTGTCAAAGTCATCAAAAGCCTGTCAAAATGATCAAAAGCCTGTCAAAGTGATCAAAAGCCTGTCAAAGTCATCAAAAGCCTGTCAAAATGATCAAAAGCCTGTCAAAGTGATCAAAAGCCTGTCAAAATGATCAAAAGCCTGTCAAAATGATCAAAAGCCTGTCAAAGTGATCAAAAGCCTGTCAAAGTCATCAAAAGCCTGTCAAAGTCATCAAAAGCTGGCTAACTCCGATAGGAAATTTTAACGTTTCTTCATCGAAAACCTTTCATCTCAAATCTTTGATCTCAACCCAAACTTTAGATCCATTTAATATTTCTAAAAATAAACCCACGAGGTGCACATCCGAGATCCGATGCTGTCGTCGGTGGAGCTGTCGTTGATGGAATGATCGCATTCGTTGCACACAACCATTTGTGTTTCTCATTGCAGGAAGTGATCTTCCACATTCGATCACTTCCATCCAAGTAAGCACAGTCACCAACTTTGCCTAACGATTTTATATTCAAAATCTTTTAAAAAACCCAAACTTGACTGAAAGAAGCGATCATAATCAAGTGGTGTTCCATCACTCCACGTCCATATATTTCCTTGGTCACGATGAGCACCCAACCAACAACGATTTTCTCCAGTCATATCTGAATTTTAAAAATAATTCATCCTTTTTTACACTAACTGAATTGAATTTGAGCCAGTAGATTGTTTTGGAAAGTATTGTGAACGGAGAGAAGATCCCCATGGTCACTCAAACAATCATCCCTCGCATGACTCCACGAATCTAGAAATTTTCATCCTCAACTACTGATCTACAGACCCTCAACTACTGATCTACAGATCCTTAACTACTGATCTATAGATCCTCAACTACTGATCTACAGATCCTCAACTACAGATCTACAGATCCTCAACTACAGATCTACAGATCTTAACTACTGATCTATAGATCCTCAACTACAGATCTACATCTACAGATCCTCAACTACAGATCTTTCCCGTTAGACTTCTTTTATTAACTTTATTCACCATGCTTAACTAAACCATTCTTAACTAAACAATTCCAAAAAAAACCAACCAGTTTCCCCTCGATAAAACAAGCAAAGATTGAGATCACTTTGATAGACGAAATGATCAGGGCATATTGGATCAACAGAGAAGACAACGACGAAGAAGAGAAATAAACAAACAAATAACAATTTCAGCATATTTTCCAAGAAATTTTGCCTTCAAAGCTTTTTCGGAAAAATTTTTCTTTTGATTCTCTTATCAAACTGAAAAAGGCTCGTTAATGTAATCATTTCCGTCGTAAATTTGATGTCTTTTAATCGAAATTTAACCCCAAATTAGAAGCCAATTTTTGGGCGAAAGTCATTGGAAAATGTAGAAATAACTTGTCTGGAACACAAAAACAATAAAGCTGCATCAAAAAGTGCAACTTTCCAAAGCTTCTTGCAAACTTCTTTCCATTTACCTGTCTTCTTTCCAAGGCGAGTATTCTGGTGGCATTCGAATCGTCGCCATTCGGTGCTGTTGATTCTCAATAAAGCAAAAGTTGACAAAGTGGGCTGTGTCTGGAATCTGAAAATAGGCAATACGAACTAAAATGCATAAAAAAACAAGCTTCTACCGTTTTTAACAAAAAGTTATCAAAAAAGCCAAAATAATTGTTCCCTGAGAGGCTCGAACTCTCGACCTTCGGATTCTGAGACTGACACGGTGCCGACTGCGCCAAGGAAGCACATTCTTCGGCAAAAGATTAGGGGCTTAGGCTGTAAAGAGGATTGTAAACAGAAAGCAACGAAAAGCTTAAAAAGGGACGGTCAGTAGGCTGAGGTGGCCAAATGACATGAGCCATATACCATACGACGCAGAATTTTATTCAATTATTTTATTCGAGGATGCAAATGTCAATTGCGAATTCAAATTACAAAAAGTGTACGTTTTGATTGAATTCAACTTCTTGATTTCATTCTGTTCGTTCTCTTTCTTTTCCTTCAGATGGTTGTCGTTTCCTTTCATTCGAATGCGCATTTCCCCGTCTTCGCTCGCTGAGCTTCGTACCCCGATTGGAGGCCATCAATCGACCAAGTAAGTACAAGACCAAGTTTTAGGTTGATCAGCTTCAGGATCTGTCCTGCCCTGTACAAAATTTACCGCCTATAATTAGCATGCTTGTGGCAATCTTATCTTGATCGGATATAAATTTAGCCAAAAGATACATTCTCGCTTTCAATCTTTCACTTTGAAATTTACCAAGTTTAATGGACTAATGTAGCTTTATTTTTAGTATCATCGTCGTCGGCGCCAGGAAGTGTGCATTCGGGTGATAAATGGTTTAAAAGTGTGTAAAAAAAAGATTTAAAAGAGTTTATTAAGTGTATCTACAGAGACATTTGAAAGTGTTTGCGCAAAAAAATTGTTCTAGTTGTGACAAATAAAGCAGATTGAGAATAACAATTTAAAAGTTCAGAAAAAGTAAAAAAAAGGAAATATGTGCATTAATAATTAAAAACCATAAATGGTTTAAAAGTGCGTAAAACAATAGATTTAATGGACTAATAAATATGCCCAATGTTTCGTTAAGGTAAAATCACTAAAGTTTTTAAAACCAAAAAAACATTCGCCTCCTGGTCAAGCGTTTCGATCCTTTTCTAAAAGTAAAATTTAATTTCGATTGAAAAGCTAATCATACCTGGATGACATTTCTTGAATCGCTTTTTAGTGTCTCGAACATTTCATCAGCCTTAAACGTACATTGCAAAAACTTTAAAATCTGCAAAACTCTACCTTTTCTCCCAAAAGAGGACAGGCCTTATGTGTGCGATGGTTTTTAAAAACACACATAGCACAAATCTGAAAGTTATCAAATAATCCCTTCTTTAAAAAAACTAACCTCAGTTTTGCAATCAACGCATCGAAGCATTTCATCAACAATGTACTAAAAAAACTCTACGAAACGAAACGCACTATCAATCCTACCTTTTTGTCGCATTCAGCGCAAGTTCCTCTCATTGATTCCAACTCAGCCAGGAAATCTAAAACAAACTTGCTGATGATTCAAATGCCTACTTTACCTTGCAGTAGATTTTTCGCCTTATTAACCTTTGTGTCAGTTCCCTTTCTACAGAGCGGACAAGTGATAATGTCCTCATTCTCTCTAGTGACTTCATTCGGATTCAGTTCCCGTAAATTCAAAGCGCATTCCGTGCAAATGGCGTGATTGCAAGCGAGAACGATTGATTTCTTTGCTTCGACCGTGATTGAATCTAAAAGAAATGTTTTCCGAAAATAATATAAAAACTCACATTCCTCATGGCAAACCGGGCATTCAGGAATTTGGAATGGCTAAAAGGGTTTCATCAGTATCACATAAGGCTTAAAACCTTCTCAAGTACATATCCGTCTTTTGTTGGAGCGAGTGCAAGAGACTCTTCTTGCGATAGAATATCTAAATTATGCTACTAACAAATCCACGAAATTCCACCCACCAATTAAATAGTATGCAAAGTTGGGATTCGAGTAACAACACGTGTAGTTGCAATGATGTTTTCTCACATTACCTATAAAGAATAATATAATTATTATAATAATATTAATTATAATAATATGATCAACCTTCAGGTTATCAAAAGTAGTACCAACTCGTACCAGATTTTCACTGGCAAACTTTGCTTACCAAATAGATAACTCCCAACTAGATGTGCTACAAAGTTTGTCGCCAACGATTTAGCCTTTTCCATCTCAAAGCATTCATGACATACGGCCAATCCGCAATTCAAGATCCGTGGTGAACGAGGCTGATTGGCGATACGGGCAACTGAAAGATTGAAAATGTTCATCAGTTTCTTAAAGCTTATAAATAAAGACCCAACAACTTACACGGTTTCTTGCAAAGAAAGCAATTCAGCGACTCGAACACTTTCATTTCTAAAAAGAAAATGATCGGAGACGGTGAAGTCTTACTGAAAATATGGATGTAACTTTTTTAAATGCTTGAGATAAACATTCACGTTTCAAAAATATTTTACTGCATAAACAAAAAATTTGAACATTTTATTAGCAAAAAGAAATGGTATAAAAAGTCAATGGCATTTCTCAATACAATATTCTCTTAGGCTTTTGGATCCCTGTGAAGCCTTTCGATCATTTCCTAACTTCAATTAAAAGAAGTAAACTTCAATTTCGGTCCAAAAAGTTAAGCTAACCTTGATTTCCGTATCGAATTTGCGTAAACAAGGCAAATACTTCTCAGCGGTGATTTCAAAATTTGTCTTCAACTTGCAAAAAAAAAAAAAAAAAAAAAAAAAAAAAAAAAAAAAAAAATTTTAAAAAAAAAAAAAAAAACCACTTAAAAAAAAAAAAAAAAAAAAAAAAAAAAAAAAATTTTTTCTTTTTTTTCAAAAAGGGGGGGAAAAAAAAAAAAAAAAAAAAAAAATTATAAAATAGGACTATTTTTATAAAGAGAAATCACAAATTACGCAAATGACTTGTTCATGTACTCGTCGTTCGTCTTCGTTCAAAAACTTACCGTCTCAAATGTGTTGATATCATGGAGAAGTTCCTTGTGTAATTCTGGGAACGAATTCTTGTACGCCTTGATGACATTTTTCGATTCCTTTTGAAGTTCCTTTACTATTTCATAAGCCTTAAATGTAAATTGCATAAACAGTTTCGGTGTAAATAAAACCCTAAAACCCTAACAAAACCTAGAATTCAACATCAACCCTACCTTTTATCACATCCAGCACAAGTTGTAGCTTTTCTCAAAGATTCCATTTGATTGGTCACTTCAGGCAATTCGCCCAGGAAATCTAAATCAAGCTTACCAATAGATAAAAGTCTGATTTACCTTGAAATCGATCCTTCAATTTATCAATGTTTGTGGCGGATCTTTTATCGCAAATTGGACAAGTAATTTCGTATTTCATCACCTCTCTGGTCTTCGCATCCACATTTGGTCTCCGCGTCTTTATAAAACATTCCGTACAAATGATATGATTACACTAAAGAGCGCGAGATTCTTTTGTCTCGATATGATTTGAGTCTAAAAGAAATTTCCTGCAAAATGATGCTAAAACGCACATTCATCCTGACAAATAACGCATTCAGGAATTTTGAGTGGCTAAAACAGTTTCATTAAAATCTTCTTCTTCTTGAAAAAATGGATTTTCTAAAAAGAAGTTAGACTACGCGACTGTACGAAGAGATGGCATTCTATTAGGGTATTAACGGTAATAGCGCATTGCCAGGCGGGGATGCACTTAGGCAGGTCTGGGAGGGGGTCAGTTCTGCAAGCTCTCTAAGAATGGCTCAGGTTTAGCCCAACTATTTCCCGAAGAGCTTGCAGCACTTACCCTCAAACGACCCAGTTGCGCAAATGACCCTGTTGCGCGAAAAAAGTAGCGGAAATTAGCCTATCCCAATTATTGTATAATTATTTTATGTGTGAGTTGTGAATTTTTGTCTTTGATTTCTCAACTTCTACTTTTGATATCTACTTTTTATAAGAAACCTCGGTAATGAATCGCTTTTTTTTTATTCTTGAAATCAAACCGAGAACTTTCTTCTTTTTTTTTGATCTTTGTTAGAGCACACGCGTTTTGACTTGTTTTCCCATTTATTTCTCTCGGATCTCTCCCTTTTTCCCGTTTTTTTCATTCCAAAATCTCACGTTTTCTGTATTATTCTTTGATCAAATGCATCTATAGATAAGACTAGGATCTCAGTACTTATAAAGATTGATCTATCTTGGAAAAAATCAGTTATTTTCTTGGCTTAATTCTTATTAAATGATGTTTTTGGATAAATTTCAGGTAGAATGCTGAAGAAAAGTCTCGAAGCAGCTCTCCGTCCAACTCTGCTCGCAATGACTGGCAAAGGATGCGCTCCAAAAGAGGGAAAGAAACCCGATTTTAGCCAGTTTGTTTTTAAAAAAAAATACTTTTCTTACAATTTTTGTTTAGCTTTCTTTCGTACATTGACCAAAATGCGCTTGAAATCGATGTAAAAGAGAGGAAAATCTACAAGGGACATCAAGGTAAAAATTTAAAGATTATGCACGAATGATGGGCGTATTGTTTTAAGTTTTTAAAGTTTTCAGGTACTTGTGGAGTATCCGGGGGGGGGGGGGTCTTTCAATATCCGGGGTGGTAAAATTTTAAGATCCAGTGGGGTAAAATTTTATATACGTTATAAGTGATTTGGTGGCAAATTCCCTTCAAATGTAAAGGTATTGGTTCTTTTCCAATATCGGGGGAGCGGAAGGATTATCGGGGGAGCGAAAGGAAAATCGGGGGAGCAAATTTTGCCCCCTCGAAAAATGCATTTCCGGGACTGTATTTTAACGGCAACGTTTTTTTTTAAACTTTAACGACGATGCGCTTCTCCGATATTTGTGCGTCAAGAAATCGACGGCAATCGATTATTTCGTCACCAAAGGAGTCATCCAGTCGTGGATTTGCAACTGTGGCGAATCGATGAAAGTCCGCTCCAAAGGGAAAAGATCTATTTCGCTGGGTATGTGACACTTGCGCACGGCGAAAGGTCCCCAAGAGGAATTCGAGTCGATAACTTTTTGCAACAAAGCAAGCTCCCGTTCGTCACAATTTTAAATAGGACACATGTAGCGCTGTCAAAATTTGCTCCCCCGATTTTCCTTTCGCTCCCCCGATAATCCTTCCGCTCCCCCGATATTGGAAAAGTACCGCAAATTCCCTTCAAATGTAAAGATATTCAATTTATTCGAGGTGATTACGTGATTCGAGGTGATACTCGATCAAAAACGTAACTTCTATGTCATTTTTTATGTCATTATTAGAAATGTTGATACTATCCTAGTTGGCGGGTCACTTTTTTTTCTTCAAAACCATTTTTTGCGGTAGTTTTATGTGTTGATATTTGGCCTCCTGGCCTAGAAGTTAATTCGATAGATTTTTACAAGTCGTATTCATTGTCACTGTTACAAATAGTCACTGTTGTACTTCACAAATTTATTTAATTATTATGTTTGGTACCACACGCAAACAGCGGTAAAGCCTGGTTGGTTTTTGAAAGTTTACCCCGGATATTGAAAGACTCCCCCGGATACTCCACAAGTACCAGTTTTCAGTTTAAAGTTTTTAATTTTAGAAATCTCCGAGTTGTTTAAAGAGTGGATAAGCTGTGGATCGAATTGGCAATGCAAGGTTTGTTTTTGGTTGGCAATTAAACTTCACTCGTTCTTTTGCTGAGAGTTTCATTTTAGGTTTCAAACGAATCTTTTACGGGAGGTGAGGAATTGATTCGTTACGCTTACGAAATGACACTTCATGAAGGAAACGATACAAAAATGGTTATTGACAAGACTCAGGTAGATTTCATAAATGATTATAATAATATAAATGCTTAGAAGATAATAATAAATTATACGATAAATGGAAAGTACAACATTTATTAGATAAAGAAAGCCTAAAAGCTCAACACTTTTGAGCTTTTAAGCTTTATGTAGTATAATGGAATTGTATAGTGTAGTATAATGGAGTATAATGTAGTATAATGGTAGTATAATGGTATATTATGTAGTATGTAGTATAATGGAATTGTTATAAAAACATTAAAGTTAAACAAATTAATGCATAAATTTTCTTCAAATCTTTAATTTAGTACTGGAAGAAAGATGGCGATAAGTATTTGATGGAGCTCGACTACTACACGACCAAGATCTCAAATATTTAAAAGGTTTGAAATCATTATTGTTTAAATAACAACTTTACCCTTTTACTTGGTGCATTTTCTTTCTAGACTTATTTTTAACTGTAATAAACTGTTATAAACTATTATAAACTATTATAAACTATTATAAACTGTTATAAACTATTATAAACTATTATAAACTATTATAAACTATTATAAACTATTATAAACTGTTATAAACTGCTATAAACTGTTATAAACTGTTATAAACTATTATAAACCCTTTAGTAAATCGAAATTAGATTTATTGACTATTTACGAATAAGTTACAAGATGATAAAGTTAGAAACGGGGTTTAAAATTGCATGTGAAGTCAGGAGTGTGGATGAGGGTTTTGAAACTTCGCTCCATTGTTGGTTTCTCGTCGGAGGTGATCTAGAAATGGGTTTTATCAATTGTGAATGTGAATTAGAGCAAAATTTACATATGAAATGCTGGACAAAGTTATGGAACAAAGAGTTTTTAGAGGAAAAATGATCAGCTCATTCTTGAAATTATGCAAAAGTCCAAAGTTAAGTTATTATTTTTCTATAAATCTAAAGTATTATCACTTAAAGTAAATAAAAAGAACGGACTTCTTTAAACAAATTTTTCTTAACAAACTTTGCCGGATAAAATTTATATTGGGTTGTCCAGTTATGAATGCGCGTTTTTACTATTTTGTAAATTTCTCAAGATATCGAACAGATGTATATGAGTGTTATATATCATTCGAAAGCTGAAGATCTCCTCTACATTTGGATATAAAAAGCTTTGGAATTTGTTCAGCTTTTGGGCAAATTGATTGCACAAAGGGAGAGGTCGTTTTCGAAAAAAACCCATTCCAGCTTAGCTATTCCTCAAGTTTTATGGTGGAAAATAACCGCCCAGAAAAGTAAAGATGCTCTGAAATTGTTATATTTAAAACAAAAAAACTGGTATTGATATATCTATTGGCCAAACATCAAACGGTTAAAGGGGGGGGGGGGGGGGGGGTATTAATCGCGGCCAGGTGACGATAAACATTTTTTTACGGCAACAACCTGTTTTTTTGTTTTAATATCGCTGATTTTATTATAAAAAGAATAAAAATCACCCGGCTAGAGTGATTTGATGGGTTTACAAATTTTTGGAGACACTGCAAGGCTTGGAGAAAAACAAGATCGTCACTCATCAGCACAGTCTAGATCGATTGAGTTTTAGTTGCAGATAAAT